AATGAGTATAATTGTTTTAATCAAATACTCCATGCAACAAAATACCTCAGGGGAGATTTCTGTAATTCCAAATGGAGATAATCTTTGATGTGAGACACTGGTACTAGGTGAACATATCCCTTCGTCAGATGGCATAAGAGCGTCAGGAATTCCTGTTTTTCACTATTTGAGAAACGCAAATAGTTCACCACTGTTTGTCTTTCCCCAGTAAAGGGAAATCATTTATCGATCTTAATAGCATTTTAAACAACTTTGGAAGACATTTTCACCTTTCCTTTAGAAATATTACAGAAAATCAGAATTCCAGAATCCTAAAAGTCATCTTGGAAAGGATATTTACTAGTTATTCTCTTGTACACTTAAGATTTCCAGTCCAAAGCCTACAATCTTCAAGTGGCCTTCTTTCAAATAGCTGACACTCAAAGATTTGTAATTTTATGTTTCGCTGGATGCTGGTTTATTTTCCATTCCATATTGTAATTTTTGTATCTTACTGTATACAGCTTCCCTGAGCAATTATGTTTAAAGAAGTATTTCTAAATCAAGTGGGTTAAATAAAACTTGATGTAATTGTATGAAAAAAAAGATTTAATGTGTATAAATTAGGGGACTGTTGGAGCCTCATGAGGAGAGAGACAATTTGATAAAATCAGAGACACTAAGTCTACAATGGTCTGATTCGTAAATACTTGTGAATTTTTAAGTTGTGCGTGGTCTCCACTTGGAAGTGTTAGGAAGCATTGGTCCTGCCATGTTCTGTACTGGATGGTGTAATTTTGATCCTTCGGGTTCCTGAAGTCAGTACGTAAATGAAAATCAGACACATCCTAAGAATGGTGCGAGTAAAATCTCCCTAATCTTATGATGCTGTTTACTAAATTCTTGAATGAGATTTTCACGTGTAAATCCATCACCGTCCTCCTGAAACCACTTATGGCATATTTTCCCTTTACTGTTGTCATATGAACAAGCTTGCTAAAAGAAATTTGATGAGGTTTTATTTTGTTTTAAAAGCTGTGTTCTTTTTACTCCAAATCTGATCATCTTCCAAGGAGATGCAAGTTACTTTCTCTGTCCTCTTCAGCTTTTCCTGGACATGACGGGATGGTATCTCCAGTCAAAGGCACTCCTTTCACATGATCTACCACCCTTAAGACTCTAAATGGTCTGTTTAAAAACTAGATTTTTCTTCTTTACAAGCAAAACGTTACCTACAGACTGGGTGCAAAAGAACAAATCCCTCTGGAATGCTGTTTTTTTTCTTAGTCCTACTAGTTAAGACAGTTCACGAAATGCCTGCAGAAGTAAACCTGGTAACATGAATGAGTGAAAGATTCCTCGTGTAGTAAAATCAAGGCAAACACAATGAGGAATGGCAAAGAACAGAGTCCATGATGGGAAGAAATGGGGAACAAGGAGACGTGTGTAAAATCCATCTTCATGCCCCCTCCTAACAGAGCAGCTGCGACTGCGAGCTGGCTTGTTCTTTCCATGCAAGCTTGTTGAACATTTCCAGATTTTCTCACTTTTCAAGCGATAATGTAATTCAGATTTTTGTGTGAAATCTCTTGATTTTTTTTTTAAATTTTGACAACCACATCATTGTCGCTGCCCAATAGCCATTCCTGACCATTCCTTTCTTCCCTTTGCAAAGGCTAAAAAAGCAAGGTACTCACTTACCCCAGACTCGCTGTTTTTAGGAATGGCCATGTGACCCAGTTCTGGCCTTTGAGATGTAAAGTTTCCTGGAAAGATTTTTTTCCTTCCTTGATAGAAGAAGAGATGTGGGGAGAAATCATATTCACCATTCTGGTTATCACTCAGCTTCTTGCCCTTAGTTAAAAATCATTTATATGATGTGATGCCTAGAGGTGTGGCAGCCAATTTACAATCATGATGGGAAACACAAGAGAATTATGTCATCCTAGAACTCTGTATTAGGCTGCTCCAGCTGTCACAACAAGATACCATAGACTGAGTGGCTTAGCAAAAGTCTATGTCTCATAGTTCTGGAAGTTTGGAAGTCCAAGACCAAGGTGCCAGCTAGGTAGGTTCCATTCTGAGGCCTCTTCTCTTGGCTTGAAGGTGGCCATCATCTTACTGTGTACTCACATGATCCTTCCTTTGTTCTTATGCCAGAAGAGAGAGAGAGACACCAGATTGTCTGGTATCTCTTCTTACAAGGGCACTAATCCCATGATGAGGGCCCCACCCTCAATATCTCATCTAATCCTAATTACCTCCCAGAGGCTCCATCTCCAAATACCATCATACAAGGGGTTAGGGCTTCATCAGATGACTTTTCTGGAGACATAAACATTCAGCCCAAAACAAGTTTTGACATGGCTGAACCACTGACAGAACGCTGGAAACATCTACCTCCACTCTTCATTATATGAGAGAAAATACACTCATCATTTAAGCCACAAGTAAGCAGGTAGTTGATAAACACAACTAAAGAATATCCCTAACTGATATAAAAATGTTCTTGTTAAATGCTGCATATAATTTATTTATAATCATTGTCCTAACAACAACCAAGAATTCCTAGTAACTGGGATTGTTAAAGATTCAACATCTGATATCCACCAAAAATCTCCATCACTTAGGGTCAGTACCATCTACTGAGAACTCTTTTGGTAACTGTGTTATGGGTGGTAGTTATAAGCTGTTAGACAGAGAGTTACTTGGTGCCAGTTCCTCTGGGAAGGAGCGGTGAGTCATAGCGAATGGAGAGTCTTTCATCACAATGTCCAGTTTAAGTATAGAGCACACCTGGGCAGAAAGAAACCAACATGAGACGGCATCCATCGTGGGAGAGGGCCAGTCTGGGCACCAGACTCTTGACATTATAATCACTGGGCAATGTGTCTAAGTGCCTCCATCCAGAAGGAGTCTTCAACATGGACTTGTAAGTAGAGTTTTAGTGTCAGCAATTTGTCAGGACTAGGTTTCTCTGATTCTCTAGACCTAAAATGTGCACTTCTGTGTTGATTTCTGACATAAATAAATAGCAAGAATTTTACTGCAGCATTGGTACAGGCCAAACTCTGCTCAGTGAAGCCAAGTAATCTGATGGGCAATGTTCCCAAACTTATCTTGCCAAAGCCAACCAGCCAAACAGTATGCAACTGTGTGATAATTTGAAGATTTTCATTTTTTAAAGCATATGATTCACGACACTGTTTTTCTTTATCTAGCTTTTACTCTCTTGAATCTCAAATATCTTTTTTTAAATAAGGAATATTTTGCAGTCCTGTTTTAAAAAGTGGGGGAAGTTAGTCACTTTTTAGATCAAAAAATATTAGTTTACATTAGCCCTAAAATTTTCTAAAGGAAAAATATATAAATGCAGAAATGTCTTTAAATATCTGGAGACCACTTCTGCTTGAGTTTACCGAATTTTACACTGGGTATTTTGAGTTCAGCTAGTGATGAGAGACTGCCTCTTCCAGATAAAGCCAATAAAATCTGATGTTATCCCTATGCAAGAAAAAAAAAAACTCTTTCAAACTGTCAAATAGAAGGGAGCCTTGGTTACAGCATTCACTTTCTGTGGAGAGAAAATCATTTGCTAAGTAAAAGAAGAATGAATAGATGGAGCACAAGGGATTTTTAGGGCAGTGAAGTTATTCTGTGTGATACTGTAGTGGTGGCTACATGTCATTATGCATTTGTCAAAGCCCATAGAATGTACAACATCAAGAGTGAACCCTCATGTAAACTGTGGACTTTGATAATAAGTGTCCATGTTGGTTCATCAATTCACCAAATATGCCACATTGATGAGGGATGTTGAGGGGAAGGGAGTATATATGTGGGGGTGGGGAGGGCTATGGGAAAACTCTCTATATTTTCTGCTCTATTCTGCTGTGAACCTGAAACTGCTCTAAAAAAAATAAAGCCTATTAATTAGAAAAGAAGAAGAAATTTCGGGAAAGAAATTACTACATCAAATGTGTTTAAATCACTTTTAGCTAACATTGTAAATCAACTAAACTTCAATAAAAAATTAAAATTAAAAAAATTTAAAAGTTTAAAAAGCTATACCATTTAAGGTGATAGACAAGACATAGACTGTTTCCAATAAACCTCTCATAGACTTTGGCCATCCAGCAGCAGTGCCCACAGACCGGGTCAGTCCTCATCTGCTCTTCCCTGTGTGCCCGTCTTTCACCACACCCCAGGACACACAGAAGTCCTAGAAAAGAGAGTAGAAGCCTCGAGTCTGCCCTCCTCAGCTAGAACAGTAGTTGACAACCTTTCAAGAGCTTTTTACTATGAAAGCCACTGAAGAATGTGAACCCTCAGTGATCTGCTTGTCAGTGGCATCAGGCGAAGAGCACTCTGAGAAAGCATCCTTGTGCCATGGAATCGTGCCCTCTGTTCTCATCTCTGCTCCACTAAGCATTATTCTCCATGCTTGCCATTGATACCTAGAATCTAAACAGTCAATTTAACGTAATGCGTATTGATGGGTTTATAAAACCCCAAATCAGTTAGATTTTGCTGCATAACAAACTATCCCAAAATGTGGTGATTTACAACAACCCTTTATTATGACTCACGCGTCTGCAGTCATCTAGATGATTCTACTGATCTGGGTCAGGCTTGATTGGTCTTGGCTAAGCTCTCTCACACGTCTGGGACCTTGCTTGGGACACTGGGATGACTGCTCTGGTGCACATAGTATTTCAACCTCCATCTGGCTGTCCAGGCTTGTTTCTGGGACAGCTGGCAGTATTCCAAGAGAAAGAATGGCGGCACGCGAGGTCTCCTGACTCACACACAGTCAGTTTGCTGCATCCTATTTGCCAAGGAAAGCCACCAGCCCAGCCAGGTTCAAGGTTTGGAGAAACAGACTGCCTCTTTATAGGAAAAGCTGCAAAGTCTCTCATCGCAGAAGGAGAGGTCAGGAGTGGTGGCTGTATTTGCAGTCTGCCACACGAATACCCGTTCCAAGCAAAAATGTCCTTTGGTAAGGCGTTTCACGTGGAATGAGGAGACGCTTTCCGCTCCGAGCTCTGTGGCTCCACACTCCCACTCCCATCAAACAATCTTTCAGTTCACACCCAGGAAGGAAAGTTCAGAGGACAGTGTTTGTTGAAAGGTAATTTAGGCAGCCTCTGGCCTGGAATGTATGCACTGAACTGGAAGATTCGGGAACTACCAAAATAAAACACTTGATGGACAAATGAATGCTTGGCTCCTTCTACTGGAGGGCACTGGAGAGCAGAACAACTTGCAGACAAGGTCAGCAGAAGAACAAACTGGCCACAGAGTGCTGGCCAGGGTGCCACCAGCTCCCGCTGAGGCCAAAGCCCCCCAGCACAAGGAGGAGGGGACGGAGGACCCTCGACAGAGGAAAACAGCACACCCGTGAAAACCAGAGCAGACGATTTAAAAAAAACAAAGAAGCAACAGGAATCTGGAAGCCCAAAAATAAAATGGCTTGAGTTTTAACAAAGTTCAAAAATACCAGTCTTTCTGGAGAATGAATCACTAGCAGGCATGCCAGTTTCCGCGGTGGCATGTCTGTGATGTTTGGACAGACGGCAGCAAGCCCAGATAAGCTCCTTGACATTTAAAGGGCTTACTCCCCAGCTGTGGGTTAGCCAGTCCCCTCATTTTCCCTCTTTCCATTTTTTTCAGCCTAGGGTACTTTGTCAGGTAAGTGGAGTCTTTAAAAAAACACTAATGGAAGAAGGTAGCAGGGAATAATAAAAATTATTGACTACTATATAAAAGAAACGTTACAAATGTTAGCATCCTAACAGCCCGGAGAGGAAGGTATCATTGTAACCCTTTGACAAATTTAAGACATTAGGATTAGAAGAGCTTTCACAACGTCCCATGTTTTAGATGTGCCGGGTCACCCCCACCTCTGCCTGACTCCAAAGCCCAGTCTCTTAAATGGCTCCTTACGACGCTGAGACCCAGGAAGGGCCTTAGTTTGAGTTGGACACCCAAGACCAGCACCCTTGGCTGAGCTGCCAAGATCAAACCACCACTTGGCTTCCTGGCAGCGCTAGGCTTGAACCGGATCTGCCACCTGCTGGTCCAGGGCTCTCCCTCACGGCATACTCCTAAGGGGAAAAATTCAATCAGTTAATTTATTCATTCATCCCACAACGGTGTGTTGAGCAGCTGCTATGATCCAGCTGCTGTGTGGGGGACACAATGTGAGTGCTGCTCGGGGTTCCCCACTCTGGGGGAACTTCCACCCAGATGTTGCAAGATAAATGCTGGACCAGGAGGAAGCCTGGAAGGCAGGGCAAAGGAATGATGATGCGTAGTACTCCTGCTTTCTCCTCCTCTCTTGTTTTGTAATGTTTTGTCCTTCCTTCCCTTAGTCACCCATTCACAGAGCTTTAGAGCAGCTGTACTTTACCAGCATTATTCAATGACTCAAAAAGGACCAATGGCTTCCCTCCTGCAAAGGTTGTAGGGAAAGTTGGACAGCCGCGTGTGAACCATTGAAGTGATACCATACCATGCACACCCAACACACTAATAAACCCAAAATGGCTTAAAGGCATAAACATAAGACAGGACACCATAAATCTCCTAGAAGAGAACATAGGCACAACATTCTCTGACATAAATCATAGCAATGTTCTCCTGGGTCAGTCTCCCAAGGCAATAGAAATAAAAGCAAAAATAAACAAGTGGTACCTAAGCAAACTTACAAGCCTTTGCACAGCAAAGGAAATCATGAACAAAACAAAAAGACAACCTACAGACTGGGAGAAAATATTTGCAAACGTCGTGAC